GGGGACCACATGTGGTGCCAGGGATTGATCCCAGGTCACCTGTTTGCAAAGCAAATGTCCTACCTGCCCTGCTATCTTATTTGACCCATACAATGACACTTAGAATGATAATTTAAAAAATTTTATTATGTGTAAGTAATATGGTTACAATAGGATCAGCGTTTGTGAAGTTGATGTACAATGACCACAACCAAACCTTTCGATCCCTGTCCTTGAAATGGAGACAGTTTCTAAGCTATTCGTTTTGAAGTTTTGTACGGATGTATACATGTCACAGTCCCAATATTTCTGCTTGAAGCTGCGATGCTACTTCCTGCTGCCACCACTGGAGCACAGGGCCCTCTGCCCTGTTCCCTTGGTGCTTTGCAGTTCCTCCTGCTGTAGTCCTGGAATCCGGTCAACTGCATTACAGGATAAGGATCTCCAAGACTGTCACAGCAGACTCCAGCTGCAAGGTTGGGGCAGTGGGAGGGGTTGCCCAGGGCCTCCATCAGTTCTGACCAGCTGCCTGTTAGCTCAGGTCTTCGGCTACTCTTCAGATTGAGTCATAGGAATCAGAAAGTCTTACAGTGATACTCGTTCCACCAGAAAGGCTGCAAGTGAGCGCCCAGGAGAGAAGGGGCACAAGTAGGATGTGGCACGCTCTCAGCATCCTTCCTATGGAGCCAGGAAATGGGACCGTGGTCAGATGCGGGCGCCTCATAGCAGCAGAGACTTAGATGCGGGTCCATTCACGAATACCGAAGATCCTCCTGTTCTCACGTCTGCCTTCTCATAACTGGGGACAAAGACCAGAGAAGTTCTTTATTACTTGGAAAAATGTTTCCTTATTTGATTTATTCCCTTCTGACAATCCCCAGAGACTTAAAGACATTTTCAAGAAGGAATTTTGTTCAGTTACTGTTTGTCGGGCCTCTGAGGGCGCGGAACGAAGCTAGGTCTAGAGATCTCAGAGCATCATTTGGGAGTACAGCTTCGATTCTCCATGTATTACTATTTACCGTATCTCTCTCTCAAGGACTCTTTTATTTTCAGCTATATTCTATTTGAGGTGAGTTTATGCATGGACAGCGTGTTGATACTTCATTTATTTAATTTAATTAATTTTGCCTTTTTTTGTCATACCTGGCGATGCACAGGGGTTACTTCTGGCTCTGCACTCAGGAATTACTCTTGGCAGTGCTCAGGGGACCATATGGGCTGCTGGGAATTGAAGCCGGTTCGGCCGAGTGCAAGGCAAATGCCTTACCCACTGTGCTATAGCTCCAGCCTTGATACTTCATTTATTTTAAGGGTCTCCCCAGTGGAGCTCAAAGAGACCTGGGACCCCACCTGTGGTCTCAGCCAATGGGTTCACTGCAGAGGCCTAAAGAAGTGGGTGTGATGCTAGTCTGGCCTGATGGTACTCCAGGCAGAGGCTCAGGCTACTTGGGGATGCTGAAGGTGGGAACCTTGGGGTGCTGGGAATCGAATTGAGGTCTGGCATATGCTACACATGTACCCTAAGTGCTCTCTCCGGCCCTGTGTTATACTTGAGATAGATGTATTCTGCCAGTCTCCTTGGACTTGGTGTAGTTAGATCATTTACATTTAAGATAATTATTGCCAATAAGGACGTAACACTGTCCACTTATTATGAATTTTTGTTTTTATTTCTTCTGTTACATTTTTTCCACACTCGGTTATTATCTCTACTGTGCAGATGTGGTAATTTTCTATATTTTTAAACTTCTCCTTCCCTGATTTTTGTGTTCTGGTAGACTCTTGAACGTACCCAGTGTGATTTTAAATTCAGTTATTGTATATTTTAGTTCTCAAATTACCATTAAGTTCTTTTTTTATCTTCAGTTTCCTTGCTGAGACATTGTTTGCTAAAAATGTTCTATTTTGCAGTTGTTTCAAGTATGTTTGTACTTGCTCAGTGAAGCGTTTAAAAGTTTTGTTCAATTATTCTGAAATCTCTGTCATCTTGGTGTTGGCATCCTTTGATTTTTTTTTTTCCACTGAGATCATCATGGTTCTTGGTGTGACTCAGCAAATTTTAATGGGAACTTGGGCATTCTCATGTTGTTTTATAAAACTTTGGATTTTGTTTAAGCCTCGTTTCAATTTGGGGGGAGGGAGTAACACTTCCCTGACACGTGAGGTTAAAGGTGTAGTCTAATTAGTGCTTGTTGGAGATTTGAGTTGAGCTTCCCCACTCTGTTCCTTTTGACCCCCCAGTTGTTGAATGGGGTGAGAATTTATATTAAGATCTGCATCTTCACAGTAGTTGACGTAATATTTCAGGAATCCATGTGCATGGAGGAACTTCCAGTAGAGATGCAATGAATCAGAGAAGTTATTCTGTTACTTGTTGGCTGGTTGCTTTTCCTGATTAGTAGTCACATGTGCTGGCTCTGAAGGCAGATGGAGCCTGGTGCTTGCCACCTACTGGCTGTGATGTTGGGTGGGTCCCATCGCCTATGTGCGCCCGGGTGTGCCTCAGGCCTTTAGCGATGGCATAGGGCCTGTCATAATACCTGCTGCACTGTGGGACTGTGAGACTTGCTCAGCTGCTCCTGCCTTGCAGGTGAGTTCTTTCTTGCTGAGCTGTCCAGCGTGAACACCTGGGTGTCCAGGAGTGCAGTTGGTGTGAGGGGTGTGGAGGCTGGCCACAGAAGACAGGTCACCGCCTGTGTCGTCCACCGTCACTTGTGTCATAGGGAGGCTAAGAAACCCCTCTTTATTAATTACTTAGTTAACGTTTACAATCTTAGGGAAGTGGTCACTGATGAACGTTGCTCTAAAGAAAACTAACCTTGAGAATGAACGAATCATCCTCATTTTACCAGCAATGCTTTTGCACCACTTAAATAATGAGTCACGGTCTCCTGGTCTTCACAGGAAGCTGTCAATCTTCATTTTAATACAGCCGTTTTTTTCTTGCTTTGTGAAAATAGTCACAGTCTTGAGTGAAAGTGTTGGACCTTGAAGAAATTTCTTCTATATAAGGCAGCTGAGATATTGTTATTTTTGGGGGGGGCTGGAGGGTGGTTTGGGTAACACCTGACAGTACTCAGGGCTTACTCCTGACAGGGCTTGGGGGACCAGATGGGGTGTCAGGGATCGAATCCTGGTCAGCTATGTGCAAGGCACGCACCCTCCCACTGTACTATCTCTCCAGCTCCCACAGCCAAGATATTATTACTGCTATTATCAGTTCTGGGACCACACCCTGTGGATGGAGATCAGGGTTCTCATGTGTGCCAGCTTTTTGAGTTATCTGGTCTCCCCAAGGTGTACTTTATTAAGATCAATAGTGAATTTATGCCCCTATTTATGTTCTCCTCCTTTGTCACTATTTACTTTTATATATTATGCTTTTAAAAATAATTAACAATTGAACCCTGGATTGCAAAACTGTGCCTAGCCTTTTTCCCTTCCTGTTGCTGTTAACTACTTTTAAGTGTTCATTGTTGGTGGCGGTTGATTGAGTTTCGGACTCAGGAGTTATTCCCAGCTTTGTGCTTGTCATTTCTCCCAGTAATACTTGGGAGACCATGTGATGTCGAGGATCAGACCCAGGCCTCCTGCGTGCACTGCCCCTGTGAACGGAGAGATCTTTCTTTCTTGCTACTGCATCTTACTCAGTTGTGAGCCTGCTGTTGCCCCTATTCAACTCATCAGTTTTTTTCTATTTTTCAACTGCTCTGCAAGAATCACAACTTAGAGCATATCGAAAGGCAAACCACTCATAAATCTGCCTTTGTACTGTGGAGAGACCTCTTAAGAAATCTCAGTTCCGAAGATCCTCCACCACTTGTAGCAAGAGCGGTGCTCCAGGGAGATGGTCATGGGGGTTTGTTCATCAGAGGCTTTACAACCACATTTGTGAGAGGACAGGCTTCATGGGAGAACATGTCATTTGGCTTTCCTTTTCTTGGGAGTCAGCACAGCCCTGGGCAAATTTGTACTTTTAACTTCCTCTGTATGCTCTAGTTAGAAGGAACTGCCTGCCATTCCTGGAGCACACAGTTTCCTATGAGCTCCTGCCTTTGCTCACACCGCCCATCTGCCTCCAGTTCTTGTCCTCCTCAGCTTGAGTTTCTCCATCCCTTGAAATTCACTGTAAGCATCCTTGAACAGCTGCTCCTGATCTAGTGCTGCTCTCCAGAGAGTCTGCTCTGAAACACCTAGCACATTCTAATTTCCCTTCTTCTTTCCCTCTCCCAATCCCCCAAACTGGACCAACTCAGGACAGTGTTTTTTAGCATTCCCTGGATTTAACAGTTGACGCTTACTTTCCTTTGAATCTGTGAGTCTTGATAGAACGTGTCCGTGGCCTGACTTGAACTAGTGTATCTGATGGGGAAGGGGCAGAGTTTTTCTAGTTTGATCATAGTAACAGTTTATTTGTAGGACAAGATGGTATTACAGCAGAATAGACAAAATAGGAAGCTGTGCTAGCTTGGGGAAGAAGATTCTGACACTTGTTGGCGTGTGCCTGATTTAGAGTTGTCCTTGGGAGAGCCTCATGGAGAGAAAAGCACCTGTAAGAGGTTGGGTACATTGGCGTTTGTAACCCCGATGATTTGGACAGATCCAGCCTTTCTTTTACCTGCGGTATCTCAACTGCTGCATATCTCCGGGGTTCATGTCTCTCTTATGAGATCATGGAATATTAAATGACGGGATGAACACTGCACATTCTTAATCTTCTTCCCTTTTTCACTTCCACACAGCAGTTACCCTTGTCCCTATCACATACTTAAATTCCACTGAAATCCCCTTGGTGAATGTTTTTTTTAAACTTAGGATTTTAGGAAATTTGAAACATACATTATTCCTGTCTACGTGGAGACCATAGTTGCTCAGCAGGTAGGAGGAAGATGCTCAATGGACAATATTTCTCATTGCCTTGTTACTGCAACCAAGTGAAATCATTGAATTACTAGTGCTACCACATGTTTCTACTTGAATGTAAGTGTTATAACTATGTTCCTTCTTTTTATTTATAGCTCCAAAAGGAATTCTTCATTTGTCTCCCGATGTTTATCAAGAGATGGAAGCCAGCCGCCACAAAGTACTCTCTGGCACTACTCTAGGCTATTTGTCACCCAAAGATATGAACCAACCCTCCAGCTCTTTCTTCAGTATATCTCCCGCACCGAATAGCTCAGCCACAATTGCCAGGGAACTCCTTATGAATGGAACGTCTCCTGCGGCTGAAGCCATAGGTTTAAAAGGAAGTTCTCCTACTCCCCCTTGTTCTCCAGTACAGCCTTCAAAACAGCTGGAATATTTAGCAAGGATTCAAGGCTTTCAGGTATGAACCAAAAGCAAAAACAAAAACAAGGAAGCAGAACTCATTAGCCCCCAGTCCTTCATCCTTCTCCATCGGGAAGCTCATCCCTGCCTGCTCGTGTGCTCGGTATTTCGCACACATGCTAAGTTATTAGGAACCCAGAAGGCAGGAGAGGGAGCGAGACACGCACACATGCTGCATTTTCTTTGACAGTTTCTTTCTATCCAGTAATTTTCTGCTGCCTGGCTCTCCTCCATTTTCCTTCTTCCTTTTCTTTCTCCTCCCCCTCCCCCTCTTCCCCTCCCCCCGCCCCGTCTTCTAATTTTTAAAAACATTTTTCATTCTCTTCCATTTGGTCTTGATGGAGTGCATCTATTGTGCATCTGTTCTCTCACTTTGCCTTCCACAAACAAAAGCTTCACTTTCCTACATTCTGTGTTAGTGTCCAGCACTCCCGCATTTTTACAGAAGTATTGAATTTCCCCAATGATGGTTTTACTTGCACTGCAGTTATAACCTTGATGTTTTATTACTCGTACTGATTCAGGTTTGCCATTGATGATCCAACATCTGAGAAGTCTGTTCTCATAGGAGTTCATTCCGCATAGTATTAGAACAAGGGTGAAGTGCTTTCTAGTTGTTTGAGGCAGTAAAGACCTGCATTTGTTTCCCCCATCATGTTTTGAGTCCTCCGGGATAGCCCCTGCCTCTGATGGGACCAACAATTTGAGTTCACTGGGCTGGTGAGCCCAGATGTAGATGGATGTGGGGATGAAAACTTTCTCTGTTTATTCTTTGTTCCTTTTTGAGAACAAAGACAAAAACAAAGCGCCAACAATTCTTTACGAATAGAACTTTCAAAAGAGACGGTAGCTCTCAGAAGAGAAGATGCCTGTTTTCTGATTTCTTAGTTGCCTTGAAAAGCTTGTACTGGACTGTAACTGCTCACTCGATTGTTGTCTGCTGGTGTGATTTGCTCCCAGATTTCTTTGTTCTCACTCCCTCTGCCATCGTAGTCTTACTCCATAAGACCAAAGCCTGTAATTTCCTTTAGAAATCCTCTAGAATATATGTATTGTGTAGAATGATCATGTATTTATAAAAACTTTGCAAGTTCAGTATACAAAAAAAAAAAAAGATGGTCCTGTGTTTTGCACATGTGTGTAGGTGAGTCTGTGTGCTTTCCTTCACAGAAATAGATTCTTGCCAGTCTATTCCCAGGTAGTCTTTAATATTTTTGATTAGGATGTCAGTCTGTAATTAAAGAAGCTGTTATCATTTATTTACTCTGTTCTCTGAAATTTTAAACAACCTAAAGTTAAAATTTTAAAAAGATTTACCTTAAGAATGACGGTAAAATCATTGTTAATAATTTTTCAAGAAACCCTGACTCATACAGCTATATTAGAAAAATGCCAAGTAGCTTTTAGTTCTAGCTATAAATATGCATAGGGTGAACTAGAAACAAACTGATACAAGGAAATAGAATAATGCTGCATTTTACTGAAACAGAGCACACATTGCATTTAAGCCTTGACTTGACTTTTTGGTTGAAGATGTTATTATGGTAAATGTAATTTTGCTGCCAAAAAATTACTTCATTTAAAAACAACAAACAAACCTCGATATGTTAATTCTTGGCAAATGACAGCAAATATCACTTTGTATTACTTTGGTCTGAAAATGTGGAGTCCTTTTCCCCTGTTATTGGACTGACTGCTCAGACTTCTCCTTTTTAAAACTTGTGCTAAGATAATGTACCTTTAATTATGGACAAGTTAAACATTTCCAAATTCTGTGCTGTCATTCCCGCCCCCCCCCCCCCCCCCCAGGTGAGCACAAAGGTGTTTATCGCTGTGCTTCTTGGGTCAGGTGAGCGGGACACCTAGGCAGGGACTGAGCCACTGGCAGAGTCCTGAGGGTGACTCAGTTCCTGTCCAGGGACCACACATCCGTATCGCACCACCCAAGTTTGTCTTCACAGGTCACCATTTCATGTGTATTGACCTGCCTGGCAGAAAAACGTGTAGATAATTTCTATTTCTTAAATGTTTTCATGGGACTGTAGCTTAGACATTATAGGGGCAGTTTGTTATGGATTTCCTTGTTTTTGTTTCTGGAATTTAAAAACAATAAATTCTTTTTTTCTGTGTCTCTAGGTTAGTGCTTTTTAAAAATATATATTGTCATCTTGTATATGATCGCTTATTGAATATTGTGAAACCCTTTCTTTGGCCTTTCTTTTCTGTTGGAATTGGATTGAACTTTAGACCAAAGCCATTTTAAGTGGCAAGTATATGGTAGTACAAAGTGAAAATGTATCAGTATAATGAAAACTCAGTTGTTCCAATTTTTAAAAAATTACTAATCTTTAATTGAAATTTATAAATTATAAATCTTATTTTCTCACTAGAATTTAAGCTTACATCTTTTAGCTTAAATCCATAAACGTAGTGAAAGTTATCATAAACTTAAAGTTATGAATAAAGCTAATTTTATGAAGCAGAGTGACTGAGACCTTTGCATATTCTCAGTTTTTCTTCTAAGCCCTGTTTGGCTCACCTTGAGGTTTTAATCACATTCGAAGTTTTTGGATCTCTGTCATAGTTAATATTTATGATTCTTTGAACTTTTATTTGGTATATTTTAAGTATTCCCTCTTAAAACCTGAACATTCTTATTGCATTACTATTTTTTTAATAACAACAGGTTTATGTCAGTCATGCCATGAACCACAGGCAGTGTCTAATCTGGGCAGTGTGCTTCCATACCTTTTTATATATTTCACAAAACGTCTTTGTAATAATAGTCATACCATAATATTTTAGGGCTTCTTGTTTTATACCTTGAAATTATTTCATTATAGTACTAAGATATTTCAAAATCAATCCACTCTTAAGAAATTAAAGAGAGACTTTCTTGGAATACTGTACATTTTAAATAAGGTAGGTGGTTTTATTTTGTTATAATTTACATTATTTGAAGTTTTTACATCTTTAATATATAAAGAGTTTCCTTGTTTAAATGGATAATTAGAGAAATGTTTAGATTGGAAAAGAAAAATGATTTCAGCAAACCACTCTTTTTAAGTGGATTTGATTTCAGATTTATCCTCTGTGCCCCTCCTTGGGTTACCCAGTATTGCTTTCGAAACCATAGAGTAAGGTGTGATAAGCTAGGTTTATTTTTCTCATGAAGAATACAGAGAACAGGGGCTGGAGCGATAGTACAGCGGGTAGGACGTTTGCCATGCATGTGGCCAACCTGGGTTTGATTACCAGCATCCCATATGGTCCCTCGAGCACTGCCAGGAGTAATTCCTGAGTTCAAAGCCAGGAGTAACTCCTGAGCATGGCCAGGTGTGACCCTAAAAGCCAAAAAAAAAAATTCAAAGAACAGGGTTGAAGAGATAGTATATAGGTAAAGACATTTACTTGCATGAAGCTTACCCTAGTTTGGTCCAGGCACTGCATGGTCCCTAAAGGACCACCAGGAGTGATCCCAGAACACACAGCTGGGCGCAGTCCACTTCCAGCGGGACCCAAAACCCAATTGGCCACAGCAACAGCAAATATATAAAATCGAATATGTATAATGGTTGAGATGTTGATTAAATTAATAATCAAGTTTTTCAAAATCAGTTATGTTTAATGGAAGGGACTTTTCATTATTGTGAGCCGAGAACGTCAGGGAAAGACTTTGAAACTGCTTGAACTTTAAACTTGCTTTTCAAACATAATTCAAACATAAAGCACTTCAACTGATTTTATGAAGATCAATATGATTATAGCAGACTTCTTTTATAGACATGGTCTTCTTTAAAATATTTGTGTTTAGCATATGTGACATATACCATGTGGTAGCAATATGACCTTACTACGGATTGTGTTGCAGCCGTGTTGGGAGTGGGAGGCTAGCCAGTCGGAGAACAGGCATTGTTTCTCTCTTTTTTCTCCCCCCCCCCAACTTTCAGTAATTCACATAGTTATCATCAGGTGGCCATTTGTAGCTTTTTAAATTTCCTTTGGAGCGATAGCACAGCGGTTAGGGCATTTGCTTGCATGCGGCCGACCCGGGTTTGATTTCCTCCATCCCTCTCAGATAGTCCAGCAAGCTACCGAGAGTATCCCGCCTGCAGGGCAGAGCCTGGCAAGCTCCCTGTGACATATTCAATATACCAAAAAGAGTAACAACAAGTCTCACAATGGAGACATTACTGGTGCTCACTTGAGCAAATGGATGAAGGAGGACAGTGCTACAGAGGACAGTGCTACAGTGGCTTGCTCGAAGAATGAGTGATCTGGGAAAAGATAGTATAGAGGCTAAGTGTATCTTTTACATTCGCATGCAGCTCACTTGGGTTTGATCCCTCGTAGCACTTAGGATCTCCACTGAGCGAGCCCCCCAGGAGTGATGCCTGAGTACGGAGCCTGAGTAAGCCCTAGCACCATGGGCTGTGGCCCCAGGCCCCTCACAGTATTGGTGTAGTCCTGGTGGCCTGTGAGTGCCAGCTCTAAGCTGCACATCATCACCTGGACCACTCTTGGAACCTTCAGGCCCATGTTACTGGCCGAGAAGTTGTTGGACTGGCTTCTCTTAAATATATATGCATATTCCCCCATTGAAAATTTGTTCTTGACATATAAATTGCCATGTCATTTCCCAGACCAGTTTTCTTCAATCTTGTGGAAGGAAAGGTTGCATAAACTAATATGTTTCTCAGAAAACAGTGAGCAAAACATATTTGTAGATTTGGCTTGGGGTTAAAATTGACTAATTCCTAGTCAATGTAAAAATCCTTGGTTTTATCCTTTGCTGTTTGTTGAAGATCTTGAGGATAATATGGGTTAGTATTTATTGACTTGTAAAGGCTTGGTCTGGGCGGGAGCAATAGTATAGCAGACTGGGCACTTGTCTTGCATTGCAGTCAACCTGGGTTTGATCCCCTGCACCATTTGTGGTCCACCAAACACTACCGTAAGTGCTGCCTGAGTGCAAAGCCAGTAGTAAATCCTGAGCAC